ACCAAGAGGAACATTGGAAACATGAACTCACTGTCAAGAACACAATGATGATGCACCATTATTTCTTTTCTACTATGCCATTGCTTACTTCTTCACACCATCTTCAATGTATTCACTCCTGTAGAAGCCTTGCAGGTCATCTGCCAGCTCCCCCAGAAATTCTGTGTAAAGCAAATACAATGATCCAACAGCTAGTCTGCTGTGTAGCTGGAGAACCAGATACTCCGTCTTCACAACAAGCCAAGACTTTTGTATGGTGGGCACAGTGGCTTCACCCAGGCCTGTCAGCTTAGCATGGTGCCCGTAGAAGGTGGTCAGGTTCAGCTTGTTGGAGTGGATGATTATAAAGTCTGTCTCCTTCACACATCTGAAGACCACAGCTGAATGCCCAGTGAAGACGAACATGTCGCGTGCGTCTGGCTCCAGCCTGGGCCACAGGGTAACATTGTAAGACAGAGGAATGAGGGAGTCTGGAAGTCTGTAATAATCCCAGGGCTCCTTCGGGATGAAAGGGGTGGTGGGGGGTGGAGGCCTGCTAGTGCTGTCTGTTGCTTCATCTCCAGGCAAGCCTCGATTCTTGGCCCTTTCCTTGTCATAGGCAATAGACAGAGCTATGATCGTAGCTAGAGCGGTGACCGCCAATACAAGCATCCCGAGGCCCACATTTTTACTGACATAGTAGACTTTCCCCATGTCCGATTCAGGAGGTCAGAGAAGGACACTGAGGGGTTTCAGTCTGTGTTTGTCCAGTACAGCAGGGCTCTTCCCTCCTCAGTTAATGGTTGAGCTATTAACATGGCAAAAAAGACATTTTCATAATACCTAAGGAGAAATGGAAAGATGGGAAGACCTTGGTCATTTAGTCTGTGACTCAGTAGCTCTTAAGTTCGCAAATGTCAATTAATGTTGTGTGGTTCAAAACTGGCATTGCACTTGGTCATTGTTGCTTTGTGGTACAAGTACAGTATTGTTTAATATGAATAAATTACATTTCAGTCAATCATTTTTAGTTGTTATCATAAGTACACATTACCAGCATCCTCAACTGGTCTCCATATAATGTTTTACATTGCGTGCCACCAGGAAATCGACTAAATATATTCACAAATGTTTTACATTACTTTTGTCAGTAATGTCAACATTCGACTGGAAGACAGCTCTTCTGTCTTTCAGTCTGTGATAACTGTATGTCATGTAGTACATTTCCTAGTGGTATTTTCCATTTCACTTTGTCATTTGCTCTTCTGTGTGTAACCAGCAGTCATGACAAGTCATCTGGATTATTTTACAACTAGTGTCCAGGAGATAATAACCCATGGTGACTACCACTTCTGTACATGCATTAACAATTTGATTAGAGCAGAGAGTGACATTGTAAAACAGACTGATTAATTGTGCTATCAAAGTAACATTTACAACTGATATCTTTCCACGCTATTCCAAGCAACCTGACATTTTTATGTAGTCATATAAAATGTAAAACTCATATACTGTAGTCCATGACTTGTTATCATGATAAGATAACATTTTCAATGGCAAGTCATTCAAATTATATTTATTAATCCTGCAATCTTTAGTACCTCCATTTAGTTTGTCTCCATGAGGGTGGAAGTTTATTCTCAATGATGTAACAATGAGAAGTTAAAAGCATATTTTCACCTTCAATAAAACTCAATTAAAGTTTACCACTGACATAATCCTGCTGGCTTCAGTGGGAGGTGCGCAGTTTTCTCCTGTATATCAAAATCACTTTCCATTATCAATAACTGCACAGTGATCAGCTCTGGTAATGTCTGCTATAGAGCATACTAACATACATTACAGAATATAAAACAAACTCAAAGCCTTTACTTCTACTATTTTAAGTACAAAATCCTGACTGTACAAATTGTCTTCCCTCCTTCCCTTCCTATCAGCATGTACAGAGGTTTCCTCTACAACATCATCATCTAATCATTGTACCATACATGTGGGAGTAATGTCAGCAGATCTGTCAGCTGTTCAGATACAGGTGTGTGGGTTTGGTCAACAATAAACTTTGATGCACAAGTTTAATTAAGTATAATAAATAATGAATTTGTTTGATAAGAATATTCTTTAAGTGTCCTAAATTATCTATTAAATATTCACCACTTTCTACTGGGGCACACTAGTGGGATTATGTGGAGTCTTACTGTATTCATTTTGTAAACTGCAAGTTAATTCTTGACCTTGGACCTCAACTGAAGTTGCATACTTTAATGGGATGACAACTGAGCCATCTCCATGACAACTGAGCGAACTTTATCTGCTGATGAAGACCATGAGTTGCAGTCAAAAGTACACAACTCACGTTCCTAGGAATGATTTGCCAACATTTATAACTGCAACTGATGGTTGAAACCCATAACCTCCCAGTTATTTTTCTTTTATTCTAATAAACTATAGTAAGTGAAGGCTCGTGGCTTTCTGACTTTCTTTTGGTCAGGATGTGCTGCAGCTATTTGCTCGAGGGTAACAGGGCTTTGTGATGATATGACAAGCTACCAAAAGACACAACGTAGGCTTTTTTATTAGTGAAAGGTACAAACAGGTAGGTCCTCCCTTAATACACTTACTTGAGATTAACTAAATGATGGTTAATCTACAACCCATAGTGCGCTGTAATAGTCTTACTGTAGCACCTTTAGATAGTGAGAGGCCACAGCTAAAAATAAGATTTCCTCTGTAACAGAAAGCTGTATTTGGGAAGTTTACTTCAGCTCTTAAAAATCTTGTATTTGTTTTTAGACTTTATTGGCACACAGATAATTCTCTGCTAGATTATTATGATGGTAACTCAACATGCTCTCAGCCATCTGGGCTTCTGCCATGCAGTGCCTGAAAGATGGAAACATCTGCAATTGAAAGTGGTAATGCTGAAGTAATAGCCGGCATAAATATTTACCAAATAAAACGTTGTTGTAATTATATACAATACTATTCTGCCCTACAGGCAGAGTGCCGTAAAGGGCTGAACGTTTTCAGGCTGGATTGCAAACTGTGAAACCAATAGGAATAGGAGTTTTCATTTTAAGCCAAAAAAGCCATTGCCATAGAGCCTACAAATGTAGATAGTCTGCCTTTGAAAAACCCTTTAGAAAACATCCCGGGTAATAGCGGGTAAGGCTGAGCTGGTACTGGTATTATATCCTGCATTGAAACAATATTGAATCTTAATATAACAGATCAGGTGGAGTATGTTCCAAGTGCAGTCTGTGCTTGAAGTCCAAAATGATTATGTCGCTGTTGTTCAGGGTGAAGCACAATCAGTCCATGAGATCGGTAAGCAGGGGTTAACAAGACCTTAGGGGCAATTAATCAGCAGTCTGTTAGATAAATGCTTCTAATGTCCCAAATGTCCCTTTAGGCCAAGTTAATAAGCCATATAAGCCAAACAAATCACAAGCACTTTCCCCTGCCAGCAGAGAGCGGGATAATCTTGTGAGTGGGAATGTTTATCTTGGGCTCACAAAATCACATAGTTTCACGGAGTAAAAAATGACAACAAAAGAGCCATGTGACCACCTCTGTTTCCTAGTGTGATCTGAACACACTCTCCTCCTCTGTTCTGTATATTCTTATTGGGCAGAACCTGTGTGTTAAATGCTCTGTACAATATTCCCAGTGCACATTCTATTTGGTGAATCCAAAAAGGAGTAGTTAGTGATAGTAAAGGTGTTCATCTGGGAAGGACTGAAATTTGACATTACTGACTTACTGTAAATCTTAGTTTGGCTGATAAGAAATACATCACTAGCATGACACCCACTTGTTTTGTTTGCATGATTTATCTCTTCTCTCACACTTTGTCCTTTTAACCACATTTCTTGTTGGGGATCAATAAAGTTAATCTTATCTCAATGTGACTGTAAAATACCTTTAGTATCCACACACACACACACACACACACTTTTGCATTATCATTCTACCTGCACGTGAACCTGTGACCTACACTATGAGCCGTGTGTGGCCTCAGCTCCACACTGTACACATACGCTTCAGCCAGCTGTAGGAGCTGCAGCGTTTACATCCAGTACAACCAATAAATCCACAGCAGAGCCAGGAAGTCAGACTGGGACTTCAAGTACATGATAAATTGTAACAAGCTTTTCAAAACTGCATGGCACAAGTCATATACTGTTTTCATTCCACTGACAGAGTGCTTACTAGCTGTGCAGATCCTTCATATGAACTGAGAGCAGTGAAATCAAATGAGGAAGAAGGAGAAGCAACAAACACTCTGGCTGCTTTGTGTCAACTTTGTGTTGACTTTTCATAGACAGCATTTCACAGTGGTTATATATGATCTCTACTGCATTCATGCACCATTTGTGAACCGTCAGGGTGGAACCTTTCTGTTACAGACCAAATTCTAAGAAACCCTCCTCAGTGTCCAAGAAGAAGCGTAACATTGCTCCAGATGGCAAAAGCTGTAAAGTTAATACACAGGCTATTACAGAACCTTTGCTGTGAAGGAAAACATAACTTGGCATGCGGCATGTTGGATAAATTAACATGTCAAACATGGGGAAAACAGTACATACCAAACCTTGTGTAGCTGGATGTCCACTGCTGATTTAAGTTTGCATGAGACGTAGAAGTTGAGCTAGAATGATCCCGGCTGATGTGAAAAACTCACAGTATGCATCAGTGAGAGTGGAGGTGGGAGGTGGTGAGAGCTACCACATGTTTTGCTCAGGATGTAGGGAGGGAAAAACTCCCTCAATCCCCCCCCTGAAAAAAAATCCCTAAATTAGAGAAGGGGGGCTGAAAGAATGTGGCTGTATCAACAGAGACTGCAAACTCATTGTGGTTGAGCAGAAAGAACTCAGAGGTACAGAGTGTCCTGACCATTTTGATGCAGGTTTCACGTGATGCTGGTTGACCACAGCCTGGTGACTCAGCTCACCTGTGTTCACACAAAAGAAAAACTCCAGGTTGTCTCGACTGAGCTGTTTAACAAAAACATCACGGCCACAGAGATTTGCATTTTCATTTATTTGATTTACCTTGGCAAGGAATGATTTTGACACGGACACATTCACTTCCTTGAGAGGCTCGACAGAACTCTAGCAGAATATGGCTTAAATGAAAGTCTGATTCTGATTTTTCATGACCACTAAATACAGCCAGTAAGACACAAACACACTTCATACAAACGCTTAAAGAGCCAGAAAACGTCGAAGTTAGTCTGCTGCCTCTCTGAACAGATGTTGGCAAGATACTAACACAGCACATTAAAACTTGGCTGGAACTAAACAGCCTTTACATTTGCCATACTGAGCACAATCTGCACCCAGGAGGACAATATTAATATTCACAAATCACAAGGATGTCAGAGACAACAATATATTACAGAGAAGGAAAAATAAACTGTGACAAGAGCCAAGCGGAGGAGTCTAATCCCAGTCCGTATGAACACACACTTGGAACAGGAGATAAAGATGTGTTTGAGTAATTACAGCCCAATACAGAAGCCAAGGGATCCTATAACAGTGCTGAGTCCAAAAGCTCACTCTAGACAGGGAACATTTTCAAACCTTGGATGGGACAAACTGCTCATGAATGTCAAGAGATTTAAAAGAGTTGAGCAGTAAAACAAAAACTGGGCCAGCACAGTTCATTATTCATTTGGAAAGAGTAGGAAATCAACTGGAGAAATAAAATAAAAAACGCGGAAGAAATAGCAGAAAATATATAGATATTAATGTTACTCTAGATGCTTTATAGAGTCAAACTTTACATTATTGTGCAAATCCTTCAACTGGAGCAATCTGTAAATTGTATACAGCAGAACTCAGAAATAATCCACTGCCTATCTCCCGTTCATGTGAAAAGAATGAGGGAGAGAATAAGCTGCTGTGGTTCCATAATACATATATAAAACTGTTTTCTGTAGTAACAGCAGAGCTGGGCGGAGGGGAACAGTATCAGTAGTACATCAGCCCTGCAGAGCTCAGCTGGAGCGCCGCTCAGAATGGGGAGAGGCTCGGCACTTTGATATTGATGTCTCCGATGTTGATGTTGCGGGGAATCTCGGGCAGGTTCATGTTCTTCACGGCAGAGACAGCGCGAGCGGGGGCTGCCGATAGACCTCCCTACCAAAATAAAACAACATGGAAAACACCTTCAAAAGTCACTGTGTGTAGGCATTTAAAAACCACACTGTACCAGGGATGCAGAAGCATGTTAGTGAACTTGCAACATCTTGAGCATACTTAAGCTCAATAATATTAGCAATATTGGCAGCAGCATGTTGCCAACACTTTTGACAATGTTGTCAGGAACTGTTCCTTACGTGCATACAAGTAAATTCAGAGATGTGACACAAATGTGGCTGCGGAACTGCAACCTTAAAAGGAATAGTTGGGCATTTTAGAAAATATGCTTATATGCTTTGTTGCCAAGAAATACCACAGATCCAACCTGCCCTAAAACCCCAATGTTTTTGTGGTTTTTAGGCGTTTTTGTACAATTTGTTACTAAGTGAGCTTTAGAGGTGCTGCTAAACAGATTTTGTCATATTGCTATCTCTCTGTTTGCAGTCTTTATGCTTAGCTAAGCTGAGTTAAGCGTCTCCTGGCTGTGGTTTCATATTTAATGTACAGATATGAGAGTGGCATTAACCTTCTCTCCTAACTCTCAGCAAAAAAGAAAATAAACAGATTTTCCAAAACAAAGTCCTATTCTTTAAATTCAAGAAGTAATCAAATCCACATTCCCTTTTGACAACATTCATGTTTCACTTGTTTCATTTTTCATCAACATACAGTTGAATGTGATTGGCAACCTTTTCTCGAATTTCAGGTCCACTGCAGGAGCTTTCCACAAGCACTTGATTGAATAAAAAAGGAAATACATTCCCTCAATTGCATTTGGACATAAAAGCAACAATGAGTCAGTCTGACAATCACACTGAATTGCCATTTTATGTAATGTCAGCCTGACATGTGTTCATGTGAATGGGAAATGTTCAATTCATGTGGAAAGGATGTGTGGAATAAAAAAGACAATATCTCTGGTTCTCCTACATTGGTCTGGGTCCTGTGCTATCAGACTGCAATGCTGAATTGGTGGAGTACTCTTTGAATGCGTTATTATTATTTCTGTAAGTTCATTAATTAATTCACTCTTTAATGCTTGTCTTTCATTTCCTGTCAGTTGACGTTCCCATTCTTAGCTACTAATCCTACTAAGGTCTGATTGGTCAGTTGTTTCTTTAAAAGGCATACTATGCAGGATTCATCTAAAAAACAATGTATAGACTCATACAAACATAATCGCTCTGTCATCACTTATGACCCATAGAACCCATGGCCCATATGAAAATAATTATTATAATTTTCAATGAATTATTCCCTTGATTCACTGCTTTGTTCTCGTCACTCCTCTCTTTATTCATTCTCTATGTTGTTTGACCAAAGGTGCTCTTTCTGGCTCTCTTAACTCAGAATGGTGGCTTTACAAACAGCAACAAATCCTGCATATTATGCCTTTAACCAGAGGAAACAGGTTTCAGTGGGTGCAGCACGAGACCTGTTTTAACCCAACTAACCTCTTAGGCAAACATTCAGGTTTCAAATCTGATCGTACTAGTGAATCAGTGTAGCTGCCTGGGAAGCAAAAGATAAACACAATCATCTATCTAAGAACCTATGGTATAAACAATGGTCATCACTCATTGTTGTACACAAGGGCATGGTCCTTTAATGTGTTAAACAGACTGACCTCTGACTTCTCCATGCGGTTCTGCACTTCAACCTGGGCTACAATCTCATTCATGTTGGTCTCCAGCACCATGCCTCCCATCACCACCTCCTGCAAGATATAATGGACCTGCAGACAGACATAACACACCAGGTGTATTAACTGCCTTAACACCACTGTACATGTCAGTCATAAAAACAGTTCTCTTTGCAGGGACTTAACATTCAAAATGCACCACAAAATGCTACAGAAAATTCTGAATGACATCAGATAGAAAATGAAATAACAAAAAAGTACAGGACCGGATCCAAAACGCAGCCAGATGTGACAGTTTGAAGCGGAGTTGAGTATTTCACAATCTTGTCTTGTCTAGCTGACAGCTCATCTGTGTTTCTTTATACCAAATTATAGAGAAGAAATGAGAGAGGCACAATAACTAACGTTGGAGAGAACGTAGGCAACAGTTTCAATTTCTTTTTCAAGTCCAGATTTGTGAATTCCTGTGGGCAGAAAATATTTCCTGGGAACAGGAAACTGTGTATTGCGACCTACTTTGATATAAGGCATGATGAACTGGAAAACAATCAATAACCATCAATGTTTTCCGTAAAGCTGCATTCCTGAATGTTCTCCTTGCAAAAAAATGGACTATATCAGCTGCATGAAGTGACATGAGGGAAAGAAAATAAAATAGTAAAACAGCCTACATATGTTATGTATTAATTTGCATATGTCCATGGCAGACTAGTAATAATAAATCTGTTTTAAAATCCTGCATATGTATGATGATTACAATTTTACAGTGATATGCAGGTCAGTTTTGTTCAGCTAGGGAAGCCCTCTGAGAGAAAAGGGTTTTCTCTCTAGTAGAAATATTTCCAAGTTTCATCTTGGAACATTCCTTGGGCCAAACCCCACTGCACACATGACTTCAATTTCCTGCTGGGAAAATTCAATCAAGATGGCTGTAGATGTGTCTGATGAGTTTTTAGCTCACTTTTAGCTCAGCTCCAGGGAAAGAATAGGAGGTCTCGCTCTAGTCTGAACAATACAAAGCTTCAGTCTAAAGAAGCTTGCACTGAGTTTAAATGCATTTTTAAAAATCATTATGTGAAAAACTCTTTACAAGAAGAACACTGATGGGTTTTTGAAACAAAATGCAAGCTCCAGGCTCTGATGAGGGAGAAGAGAAAAGAGAGAAAGGAAAGAGGAATTTCAGAGCTGCAGAATCTCTCTCTCATGATCTACTGTACATCATACAGCAGTGGAGCCCAGTTTGATACACAGTATTAGTTAAAAATGCTGGGCCCACACAACCAAAAACAACTGGATCAATTACAGCAATGCAGCTGTTGCTGAAAATCAGCTGGCTGTATGGAAAAGGCAAACACACTGCACATTACCTTGGGGGCCTTGTCTCTCTACAGCTCATTCATAAATACAAAAATCCTGTCATTTGAACCTTGTATTGAATATGGAGAAGAAAAAAAACCATTTAGTAACAAACTGCAGTTTTGAGGTTGGCACATGTATAGTAAACATAATGTAGTAAACATGAGGTTCTGCCGGACATTTCTAAATGGAAATAACAGACTTGCCATGCAAAGGCTTTAACGTTCCCATAGTCTTCCAGATGAGTTACCTTGCTACACGTTTCAAGGTACGACACTGTGCCAAGTGTGAATTTAGCCAGCTGAGGAGGACCATACACATGTGAGCAAGAGAATGAAACAATGTGCTTTCAATGGATTTACTTGGCAAAGAAAATGTTTAAATGCTGACGCTGACCAACTACTGGCCTCATCCAACCTAGACTTAACTGACTGAGCCACCACTTCCTGCAGCTGCTAGACGGCTCAAGGCAGAATATTCTTGTACTTCTTTTACTGTGAAGCCTACATTGACAGCAGATTAACAACAAATATGAAAGTTGTTGTCCCAGAAGTTAAAAACCTGACACTGGAGAAGGGTATAATTCAGCGGGTCAAACTGCTGATCAGCTGCTGAGAACTCCAGGTCTAAGGCAAAGCTACTCATAAGCTGTGGCACAAACAGCAGAAATGTGCAGAGGAAACACCTGAAGATGAGCATTATATAAAAGGCTAAAATGTCCACACACACCTTGTCCATGTGGAATATGAGGTCCAGTTCACAGACGTTTTCAAAGCATTTGTCCAGTGTTTCCACAAACACCTGCAAAGAAGAGGATTTGGACAGTCAGACATCTCTCAAATAAACACCTGTGTTTGGTGGTGACTGATTTTAGACGTCATACAAATACTGATGACAGTAGTACGGGTGAGGTGGGTTTGGGTTTAATGCATATCAGTGTGGGATCAAAGCTGTAAACTGGTAAACTTTCACAGGTTATTTATTGAGAGTATTCCTACTTTTGTATTATGTTTTGGTTTCTGTGAATTTGAGTGTTTTGTCCTTTAGTCTCCATGACTTATGTGAGTTTGAGGTTGAGCATGTTGTATTTTTCCACAAAGGTTGCTTAATCTTTTAGGGCATTAATTGTTTAATAGGTGGATGACTTATGTCTCTTGTGTGCTGCCACAATTTCCCCGAAGGGGCAATAGAGAAGTGATGCAAGATTTCTGCTCTGATTAAAACATAATGCATCAGCACTTCATGTGATGACTTGAGGAAACAATGACAATCACAGT